TTCCGGAAAATGCATGATGTTGTTTCGGTAAATGCGCGGGGGGTGATAAATGTGCCTATGGGGGGGGGGGGTCAACAGGAAGCCTGAGACCAGGGCTGCCTGTGTTGACGTTGGCACTGTGGTCCACTGGCTGTCAATTCACGTTTCGCTCGCGGTAATTGCATGTGTTTTGCTTGCCTGGCATTTCACTCGAGAGCGAAGAAGCTGCGCTTGATAGAGCCTGGATCTGCAGCTCTCTTGTGGGACCCTGAACATACAGTCAGCCACAGAGAGCCATCCTGGAATTTTCATCCGTGTAAGTGATCTTTTTTTTTTTTTTTTGTTTCCCTCCAGTAACTAATGAAAATCAGCTTTTGTTAAAAAAGAGTACCTTGTATTTTGTTAAAGTTCTAAAGTTTTGCTTGGAAAGTAGATGGCCGCCACCACATTATGGTCAAACTCTGGCATACGAGTTGCACCTCAAATCCTCAGAGATGGTGTGCCTGCTCTGGTCATGGGTGGAAGTGCGGGAAGGTCATCCCACCCATAAGTTGCCATCCAGGGTCAACGGCGGCCATGTTGGCGCAAGACAGTGAGCTGGGCCCCGTAACCATGGGGACGGAGCGTTCATGAATTAGCTGCACTGGGAGCAATGCATGCGGCAGGCGGGCTCTGTAATAATATGGTAACGATCGTCTGGCTTACAGGGGCGTGAGCCACAAGCCGTGAAACATTATTACTTTTTTGTTTTTCCTGCAGTTGTGGCATTTATGTGTCTGTTCAATTTAGTTTCTTGACAAAATGATTCAAAGCCAATCTGTAAAGTTTTAATGGGTGATGTGTGCGTGGGGATTTCCGGTGTGCACAAATTCTACGGCTATGTTCTAAAGAGGGGTGAAAATAAGACATATTAGTAGTTCCTGTGTGCGTCTAAATAAGGCCCCTGCTTCTTTTAGCCGTTCTCTGTGGTCCTATCAAGGCTGGATAGTAGATTTGAATTTAATTTGTGTTTCCTCCTCCTATTAGCCTCAGTGTGACAAAAATTGCTCGCCAGGGCAGCCTCTGTGCAGGGGGAAGGGGACAAAGAGCCACTGATCTACAGGCTAAATTTAGCTGGGTCTTAGGTGCAGATTAATACAGCACTGTGCGAATAAAGGAGTACTCGTTGGGGGAGGGGGAGGGAGGCAGTACCCCACCAGCTCAGCGTGCGATGGATTTGAGAACAGGAAGTGATGTTTTCAGACAGGGAAGCACTTGTGTGTAGGAGGAGACTCAAGAATGGAGTACACCCCCCTCCCCCACCCCCAACCCCGGCACTGTTGACTCTCGTGTGGCACGGCGTAATTGATGTGGGGGCGGCCCGTCTTAAATCCGCTATCTGTTCCACCCCCACAGCGGTTTGACACGGCGGTCCATCATCGTTTCGATTTGACCGGGAGGCTGTAGGCGAACAGCGTGTGGCGTCTCCTTACAGTAAAATGGGAGGGGGGACGGTGAAGGTGGGGGTTTAATGCCCCAGCGGCCTCACCTGGTTAAATATATGAACGGAGAGGAGCAGTCGTGCTCCATCCAAGGGCAAATCGCTGTTGTGTTTTTGAGAAACCTAGTTACGCTGCCCCCCCCAGTGGGCAGCTGATAAGGACGCGGCGCACCGAGCCCCCCGGGCACCTCGCGGAAGAGGCGCCGCAATTATTAAGTCTTCCATTATCATGCAACGTCCTGTTTTTTTTTTTTTTTTTTTTTTCCCCCCTCTCTCCACGCCAAACCAGGTCAGCATTAGAAATCCCATTTCCGTGCCTTTCTTTTTGCCGCAAAGCAGGATGGGAGGCCCGCTGTCGTCCTGCTGGGCACTCCGCAGAGACGGGCAGAGGGTATGATGTGAACGGCGGCCCGTTAGCGCCGTCTGGCAGTTCTCCTTGCGCGGTAACACCACGCTGTTCTCCGTGTCTTTGGTTGCTCTTCCCTTCACCTGGGCCACACTCTCCCTCGGCGCCTCTCCGTCCCCCAGTGCTCCATCCTGTGTGTCCCCGGAAGGGGCGAATGACCTCCAGCACCGACGGAGGCTGCAGCTTGGCTCCTCTCGACTGTGGAGAGAAGGTTTCGAGCTCCTGGAGCGTGGCTCGGTCCTGGACGGCTCCAGGACATATAATGAGGTCCATGCCAAGAGGCCGGATTTAACTACTGAACGCTGACTTTGGGGTCATCGCGTGGGGATGCCTGCAAGCTTTTGATCTGGCTTAGCGATCGGGGATGGTGGGAGGCAGGTATGGAGCAATCGAAACTGAGGAAAAGACCGGGGGGGGGGAGGGGTGACTGGGTCCTCAGACTCCTGATGGAGCGCCGAGCCGCCAATCACAGCCCTTTGTCTGTGAGCTGAAACAGGCAACAAGCCTTCCTGTTATCCATCAATCCCTTTTTAGATTCAGGCCCGATTCTTTCCTGTGCCATTTATTTGTGATATTGTGATGCACCTTTTTTAGGATTTTTATATTAACTTTATAGATAATCTCGTTATTGATGTGTAGTTCAGGTATTTTTTTATAATAATGAGCTTTTTATATATCTTAGGTTTCTTCATAAATATAGCCCTAGCTGCTTGCATGGTTTGAAAAATCAATTAACTGTTTGTGGAATTGTGCTGATTAGAGTCTGTTTGATCAAGGCCGGAGGAATAAGTATGAATTTCCTCCCTGTTTGCACACAGAGAGAGTTAATACTACTCCATTAGCTGATGAGGGGTCATTTTCCTCCTACTTCCTAAAGATTCGCGCTCCCTTGTCTAGGGAGGTGAGTCCCAGTGTCGGACACCCTGCAGCGTGTCAAAGCAGTTGGCTGCCTCGGAGGTGCTGCCTCGGAGGTGCTGCCTCGGAGGTGCTGCCTCGGAGGTGCTGCCTCGGAGGTGCTGCCTCGGAGGTGCTGCCTCGGAGGCGCCGTCGTGGCCATGCCCCCCCACCCCGTGTACCAGCGTTGGCCCCGGGGGGGCTGAGCGGTGCCCGGCTCACCCGCTGTGAGCTCCTTGTCTCATCAGGGGTGGGTTCCTGTCATCGTGGTCGCTGTCTCTCTCCTTGGCCGCTCTGCAGCTGCCTTTTAATCCAGCATGTCTGATCGGGGGAGGGGGAGCGAATGGACAGATGCAGGGTTGCCCGGTTTCCACTCCAGATTCTCCGGAAGAGATGCTATAACTGGATGTTAAAAACATAATGTTGCCTTGCTTGAGATGACCAAGAAGTGAAAGATTTAACATGGATGGATAATCCTCCAATTAGACTCCACCTTGGTACACTGTCAGATTGAACAGCACAGGCTGCAGAGTTCGGTGTTTACACTTAATGAACCTCTGTGTGCAGACCTGATGCCCAGGCAGTTGTGACTGCGTCTACACAGACGCCTCGGGGCTTGGCACCCCTAGGAGCAGTCCCTGACCGCAGGGAGCTCTCTCCCTGGCACGGGCAGATGGGATGGGGGATGGAGCGGGGGCCGGGGGGGGCGCCTTCTCCACATTCCAGTCTTCCTGTTAATGGAAGCTTGCAGCCAACACCCTAGGACTCTTAGGGTGCCTCTAACTCTTAACGGTGGAAAAAAATACTTGGATCGGTGCTAGAGGCTCCTGCCTTCAAAAGCTGACTCATCTGTTGTGCAAGTAAGAGTTAACTATATGGAGAGGAGGCTGCCTCATGGAGTCGGTGGGGGAGTTCCGTGTAGACGTGCTGCGCCACACGTGATATCGCCGTGACTCTGCTTCTGAGTTTCAGGGAAGGCTTCCCTCAGCAGATGGCGTTGGCCGCTCTTCCTTCATTGGTCTGTTATTTCTGTCTTTGCCCCCTCCCCCGTATCCCGGGAGTTTGCTGAAAGTTTAGGAATTTGGGGAATTTTGTTCAAATTGATACGGTTCAGTGCAAGTGTGGAAACTGAAGTGCGGAAATTAGATATTTTTGTCTATTGGGGGTGTCTATTGCATAGTGTTCAGTGAATATGTAGAATGTGGTGGGCAGCATTTTCCTAATGTGTCTCCTGGCTCCGGTTAGTCTTGTTTACTTCGTAGTTGCGTGACACACAGCACTGCTGGACAGGGTCCCCGTGTTGAACAAGTGCACGCAATATGTAGAGGCAGCAGTTTTCGAGCATTTGTTCCGCCGTCGCTCGCGAGCACATCCCACGGGTGTCAGCCCGTCGGCGGGAACGTGGCTCACAGCAGTGGGTCATAGCATCTGGGATGCATGCCTCTTCACTTCTGTATTTTTACTGCGATGAGTGCGTTGAGTCATCGATGCGCCTTCTGCAGGTGTTGACCAGATGAGTCTGTGAGGGGCTGCTTGGTCCATGTTGCAGTGCTGGTCCCCCTGGTGCCATAAGGCCTCCCAGCTGACTACCCTGTCGCTTGGGTGAACGCCCAGTGCTTCTACGTTGGGGAGGGTCATTGGCATTAGGGTCATCGAAATTAAACTCCGCAAATTCTCATGCTCTCACATGTAAGGAAATCCTTGCAAAGATTAGCCACCTCTCGTTGCATACATGAGCGTCTCCCTTCATCTTTATTTATTCTCCGTGTCCAGCTAAACGTTTTAGCAGAGCTCAGCTAGAAAGGCACGCAAATGCTGAAAGTGAAGTTCTGCTCTCACTGTGGTTCGGTGCAGTCCCAGAGGTTGAGAAATTGCCTTTTTAACCCTTTCCCAAACTGATCTATTTCTGTAATTTTCTTTCGTTTTTTCATGTCTTCTGGAATTTCCTTTGATTTGAGGCATGGTCTGCTGTTTGTTGGAACTTTTTAGCCACCTTCAAATTGCTGAAAATGTTTTTTAAGGGATATGTAGATTCAATGGGGCTGGCAGCATTCAGGCCCGAGTTGGTGTACTCTAATTTAACACATTATCAATTTAAATTTGGTTCATTGGTTTATTGGTAATTTTTGGCAGTTATTTTTTTCACATGGGTGATACAGGGATTGGGGAACTTCTTTCCTTCAATTAATCAATCATTTAAAAGCTGTATGTTGTGTTTACAGTTTGTCTTGTTTTATACAGATTTTTTTTGAAGATCAGGAGCAAGTGTTACTAAAATAAGCAAAAACAGAGGAGATCAAATGCACTATAACTGTTGACTGGCAGGTGCTGAGGGCGCAGGCTGGAAATGGTGTCTCTCAGGCCAGGGACTGCTCTGGTCTGAAGGTCCTGCTGTGGTGGAGCTCACCCTGGTAGCCCCACCACATCGGCACGGTGTCGGATGCGACTGAGAACGTGGCAGCAAAGGAGGAAGGAAGGACTTGCGCGACTCCCCGGCTCACCGCTTGCCTGCCCTCTGACAGCCGTGGACTTGACATGCCGTCGGCCTGATGGAGGAGTAGCTCGAGCGGGAGATACGGAGCAAAGAAGAAGGTGAATTTGGGGGGTGGGAACGGAAGAGCGAAAGTAAAGCAGGGAGGGGGGGGTTCCGGCGCCTGACACAGAGCCTCAGTTTCCCAGGCAACGTTGCCAGCAAGGCGGAGCCGTGCGGCGTGGCGGTCGGCGACGCTGCGGAGGATGACCAGTCTGTTCCGGCGCAGCAGCAGTAACGGTGGGTCGCGGGGAGGCGGCTCGGCCGCGGGGGAGCTCAACAACAGCCGGCCCGCCCGGCAGGTGCGGCGCCTGGAGTTCAACAAGGCCATGGAGGACTTCAAGACCATGTTCCCCAGCATGGACTACGAAGTCATCGAGTGCGTCCTGCGCTCCAACAACGGTGCCGTGGACGCCACCATCGACCAGCTGCTGCAGATGAGCATCGACGGCCAGGGCTCCGATGACAGCTCTGACTCGGACGACAGCATCCCTCCAGAGGTTGGGGGGCGGGGCTTTGGGTTGGGGGCGGGGCTACTTTCATCATCCATTAACAATGAGACGCGTTGCATTTGCTATGCTCGTCTCAGTGTGGAAACAGTCGATCAGTGCTTTAGAGTCTGGCCAGATGCACGTGTTTCCATTGTTTTATATTGCACGCTTCCCCTTCCTCTGCCCGATCCTTTCAAGGGCATTGGCGCCAGGGTGGGAGTGGATGGGTTTGAAGTGGCACTTTGTATTCTTCTGGGACGGGAGGTCAGCACGTACAGTCCCCTTTCTGTGTGCGCTCACCACGCCCCTCTCCCTAGGAAAGAATCCAATCGATTTTTTCCTTCAGGGTGTTAAAGATCCCGGAAGCTCCTGTAGGGACACCTTAATAATCCACACACCCCCCGATGATGGTTTTCCCATGAGGCACTGGGGCTGCCGCTACACACGAAAAGTAATGAATACGCCCCCCCCACCCCGTCCCATCCGTGCCTGGTTTGCTCATCTGATTTGCGTGATTGTTTACTTTCCTGTCTCCCCAATGAAAGGACGCCACTGTCGTCGTCCCCCCCCCCCCCCCCCCCCCCACGCTCTCATGGAGATGGCAGCCCCCGCCACAGCTAGTTCATGGGGCTGACATGGCTGTTGCCTCAGGCGACTGCTTCATTTAACCTTTCCGTTAATACTGTCCTGGCCCGGCGTCTGCAGGCGGCCCGTTTATCCAGCTGTAACGGGTTTCTGAGTAATTAGACAGACAGATGCGGAGTGGGTGAGTAATAGCTGACCACACTCTGTCTTTCACTGGCTGCCTTCGCCCCCCAGGTACTGTGACTGACTGACCGCGGTGACTCACTCTGAGAAATAAGAGGGGAAAAGCATAAATAATCATATTTGTCAGCCTCGGATAATTAAATCTGTTAACTTTGTAAATTAACATTTACACTTTTATCACCAAATGTATTTTTTTTCTTGTATTCCCCCCCCCCACAGATTTTAGAACGAACACTGGAGCCAGACAGTTCTGACGAGGAGCCCCCACCTGTGTACTCCCCACCAGCCTATGCCATGCACATCTACGACAGGAAGTACCCTGAGCCCCCACCCACCCCGCCGCCCAGGTAAGGGGACGGTGTCGTAGAAGCGACCTTCAGATGCCAATTTAAGATGATGCCACACGGTGGAACGTAGCGTCAAATGTGAGCATTAGGGTTAGGGAGCTTCGCATAAATGATCATCACAGGTCAGCAAGAGGGGCCTGGTGTAATGGCTCAAATGTGTGAAGGAAGGGCAAAAAAGCTTTTTCCCTCAGGCAATCAGACTCTTGAACAATGCTAAAAGCTCAGGTTAATCTAACCCCACCTCTATACTCGTATCCAACTCTTACTGTATGTCATTCAGTACTGTGCGCTTTATCGAATGATTCTTATATTTTTATAATTTTTTAATTACTGTCTATTCTATTTTATAACTTTTTCGAAGGTGAGCAAGCAAAGTAAGAATTTCATTACATGGTTCTAACGTGTACATGTTGTTTAAGGAAGTATAAAAGGAGAAATGTGAGACAGGCCATGTGTGCTGAGTCTCCGCTGGGCATTTCAGTCCCCGGGGGCTTGGATGTTTGCTGCTCTGCCTTCCACTTTGCCTCTTTAGGGATATTCAAGCAAGATATCCATTATTTATCAATTTTTTTATTGGAATCAACTGTGTATATGACAATAAACTTCTTGAATCTTGAAAAAGAGAGCTTTTAACTCCACTGCCCTCCTAAAGCACCATCTGGTGTTTGTTTAGGGAACTGCGGGTAATATCTCGTGCCCAATAGTGCTACTGTGTGTGTTTGTGTGTGAGTGAGAGTGACACAGGGAAATCTCCCAAAGTGTCACATGACTCTGCTCTATCTGGTCCAGAGTAACTTTGTGAAGTTGTGCCCAGCGTGTGCGGTTGTCATGCCGATGATGTTGCTTGGCGGCACAGGTTCGAGGCGCAGCCTGCCCCCGGACCCCGGCAGGTGCGCAACTACAGGAACTGGAACCCGCCGCTGCTCGGAAATCTGCCCGACGACTTCCTGCGCATCCTGCCTCAGCAGCTGGACAGCATGCAGGTACCGGCGATGCTCGCATTTAACCGGCCGTCACCTGTTGTCATCGACGCTACATTCATCACATGCTTGCAGCGTCACCTGACTCCCATCCCCCCACCTTACTTCAGGGGTCCCAGAGCAGCCTGTCTCAGCCGTCGTCATCGTCGTCGTCCTCGCTTTCGTCTGTGAGCCAGCGACCAACACCTGGCGCCGGGACGGGGCCGGTCGGCGCGGTGACGGAGCAGGAGCGAAAGCTGAAGCAGTACCTGGAGGACGAGCGCATCGCCCTCTTCCTGCAGAACGAGGAGTTCATGAAGGAACTGCAGCGCAACCGAGAGTTCCTCATGGCGCTGGAGAGAGGTGCGTGATCTCAGGCCCCCCCGGCCCCCGTCTGTCTGCCTGTCCCGTCTGCTTTGTCCATCTGTCGCCCGACCCGCAGGAGCCCCACCGAGAGCTGCCTGCTCACTCCCCCTCTCGCCAGCCGCTGTCAGTACAATGGGGTTCCCCCCCCCCCCACTGTGGCTTGCTGTTCACCCGCTCGTTCAGGCAAGAGCCTGTTTAATTAGGGGTCCTGCTCGCTATCGGCCCAGACTTTCAGCGGTGAAGTTGTTGGATATCCCCCACAAAGCTCCCCCTGCCTTTGATATTTGCGCACATAATCCAGCCAAATGAAATTGGATGCCAGGCTTGGATTCCAAAGGCACATTGTGTTTTCATTTGGGGTTTTATAGCACCCCCTGGCTTTGGGCAAAGGCAGCACGTGTTTTACATCTTTAGATGAAGGCTCATTATCGCACTTAACCCTAATCTAGGTGTATGAGATCGCCCCTAATTGCCCCTGGCCCATAGCAATTGCCTCCGTCTGGTTCCCACTGCTGTCTGTCAGTCCACGAAAGCCACCCCCCGGTGCCACCAAGACCAGGACCGCGCTGTCTGTTTCTCATCTGCTGTCGTAACATCCGCTCTCTCTGTTTTAGATCGGCTGAAGTATGAATCAAAGAAATCTGGGTCCGCTCATTCATCCGCTAGCATGGAGAGTTCCACAGCAGGTAGATATCATTCCTGTCTGCGCATGTGCATCTGCGTCTGCACGCCAAATGTGCGTGACCGTGCATGCACCCGTTGTCGAGACGGACAGCGGCGTGGTGTACAGCGCTGCAGGTGAGTCTTTGATCCCCTCAGCGCCCCCTACCTTGGCTGAGGATGCATGTGCCTTCTTGCTGCTCCGTGTTTTTTTTTTTTTATTATTTCAGTTTCCCCAATTCAGCAGCTTCCCACATCGTGTGCTTAGTTCTGGCCCATTTTGCAGCTTCAGAATGTGCCAGGACGCCTCATACCATCTGCGTCAGTTGTCTGTAACCTTCACGCGTGCCTGCCTACCAGGCAGGGAACCTCGCAGAGCGACGTGCGCATACGTCAGGGTCGGGCTTGGGATGATTACAGGCCTCTGGAGAGGTGGAGTGGTTTTGTGTGTCTGTGTGTGTGTCTGCCTCTGGGTTGCCATGGCAACTCGCTTCCAAGCCGTCGGGATGAAAGTCGTGCTGTGCTGAGGGCCAGATCGACTCTGGGTGTCACCGGCTGGGCTGAATTAAGTCCGCCTGAACTAATTTCCTGAAGGTTTCTATGCCACCAGGACTTCCCACAAACCTGTTGCACCCGCGTGTGCCACAAATGAGCCGCTCGAGCCAGGGAGAGCTGGTCCTAACTGGCAGGAGGCTCTGCTTGCGTGCGTCCGTGAGTCCATGTGTCTGTAGGTCATGCCACCTGTCTTTGTTCTAGGAGAGCACTGCCCCTCCGGCTCTGGAGAAGCCTGCTCGCCTGTCTCCGAAGATGCCTTGTTTCGGGACAAACTCAAGCACATGGGAAAATGTAAGAGATCCTATTCCCGTCACGTATTTAATAAATAAAACATTTGCGGCTTGGCTTCCCTCTCACACCAAAGCAGTCGGGAGGGGTAGAAAGGCGGAAATCTGTTGTTCTGTGCTTTGATCTGTTCATACGGAGACGACAGGATGTCCAGGTTAATCGTAGGCATCACCCACAGTTCATATTGCTTGGGTGTGCGGAGGAGTAGAGCAGTGTTTCCCAACCCGCCCTCAGGGACCCAGCTCCTGGTACAGCAAAAACGTGGACTGTCTCTAGGTCCCCAAGGACTCAATTGGGAGACACTGCAGTGGATTGTAAAAAGACCCCCCCCCATGCTGAGACTGGCAGAGTGAGCCAGCCTCCGGGTTCAGCATAATCACCGTCACGTATGCCGATTGTCGCCCAGCCCTCACACTGACCGTGTTCATGCACAGCGACGAGGAAGAAGCTGTTCGAGATCGCCCGAGCCTTCTCCGAGAAGACGAGGAGGAGAAAGAGGAAGAGGAGGATGCTGCTGAAGCACCAGTCGTATCCTCCCGCTTCTGTCATTTCCCGGGTACCTGAGCTGAGGCTGCGTACCTTGTAAAACGTCAGTTCGCAGGAAGGAATCGCACGGTACTTCCTGTCCTGTGATTGCAGTAGTCTTCTGTTGTCCTGCCGCAATTGGAGCGTGTGGCTTTGCCCCACAGATTGGGATCATAGCAGCAGATCAGAGTCTCGCCCTCTAGCAGATGGGGCTTGGTGCCGAGCGTGGCAATAGGTCCCTGGTGTATTTTATTTTTTTTCCTTGATCCTGCCCCCGCCACACACAGACTGGGAATCGCTGCCTCTACAGCCAACCTGCTGGATGATGTGGAGGGGAACCCGTGCGGTAAGAGACGTGCCAGTCCTTGCGGTCCATCCGCCAACACATGCTGAACTTTCTGCTGCTGCCGAGTTCATCTGGCGCCCCCATGTGTTCAGACCCTAGAGCTGCTGCAAGCTGTGGCAATGACCACTTTTTTTTTTTTGTGCTCTTGCAGATGAGGAGGGTCAGCTCAGGAGACCAGCTGCTCAGGAAGAGGAGGAGCCCCACAAGGAAGTGTTGTCATGGTGAGGGACCACCCCTCACCCAGACCCCCCCTCCCCTGACCCCAAATTCCATATGTTAACTCCTTCCATACCCTCATTATGATGGGAGTATGAACACTGGTAATTTGATAAGTAAGCAAAAGCATTCTGCAGCAATTTATAAATTGAATGTGTTTACATTTGTATCACTATTACAAGACTGCTTGATTCATTTGCTAAGAATATATATCTGTTTAAGTCAGATTGGCTTTCCCCCCTTCCCCCCCCTAACTAACATCCTTTCTCTCCCCCTTCACATCTAGATCTGTCCAGACCTGCCACTTCGAGGTTTCCACGGTGTCCGCAGAATGACCCTGTGACTATTGGCAGCTCTGACTCCTCCCTCCTGACTTAGACCAGCCAATTGCACGCGGTGCCAGTGACCCGGGAAGCATCTCCTCCTACCCCGCCCAGCCAGTGAGGAGCCGAGGCCGCCTGAGACCCCACCCACCTCAGCCTGAGCCCCTCCCCTTCGTAACTGCATTAGACTTGGAGTGCTTATGGAACTTTGCGCCTGAAAGAACTGAACTAATGCAGTTATCAGATCTGATATTATTTTGCCCCCCCACCCCCGATTATCTATCAGCCATTGTCCATATGATTTAACCATATAAATTTTGCTATTCATTCTATTTGTTAGGTTATCTATATGTATATTTGCTTCAGGCTAATGCTCCCCCCACTCTGTGGTCATAACCGATGGGAGTAGAGGCTGTAGTTACAATTTGGGTCAGGCATTATGCTACTCAACACATCACATGCAAGCTGGTGTCCAGCTGGTCTCTTCCGCAGATGCCCCCGATAGAGGCAAGCTGCGGCAGCCCAGCCGATCCGATTCTGCTCGGTCCCGCCCCACCGAGAGCCTCTTTGTGGGTCACTAAGCTCAAAGCCAGGGCATCTGAACCACTGGTAGAATGTCTGCAGCATTGAGCTGCCCGATCAAGATCGACCGGCACCAACCCCTCGCACCACCTAGCCGCCGGGAGCCGGTCAACACTGGGGGGTTGGCAGAAAGTGGGGGAGGAGGGACCCAGGAACTGATTGCTCGCACATCCCCCTGCCCCCCCCCCTTGCCCGAGGGTATTCCCGAAAGTCACCCGTATTTTGCGTCCTCCCTCGTTCATTCACAGCTGCATCTCATTTTTCCGATGCCAAATTCCACTGTATCTCAGCCTATGGGGATTCCACGTTTTGACAGGTGATCCGTCAGAAGCACCTACAAAAAGCTCTTTGCGAGGGGGGAAAAAATGAACTACACGAACTGTCCCTCAAATCTACACTGCCATATCTTACAATTTTTTTTTCCAGTTTTATGTGAAGCTTTCATCTAAAAGGGGTGAAGCTATACATAGGACCAGTATTAACATTCTTATTGATGTAATTACTAGGAGTTTTTGATGTAGAGAAGTTTTATTTACCCGTTATTGATGGTTGTGTTTTGTTGTAAACGAAAGGCTTTTCAAGTGATGCCTCTATGAGGACTGGCATTAATCTTAAGAGAGTCTTTGGATGTAATGGTAGAACCTTATTGAATCACTTTGAAATTAATGTTTGGCCAAATATAAGGAAAATTTGAGTTGAGAGTTTTGTCTAGGTCTCAGTACCAGTGGTGAATTAGTTGATCAGTGGCTGTCGCAGGTCCTTATTTGAGCTCAGGGAGGACTGAGACTGTGGATAGATATGGGAGATCCTGTGTGTGTTTTTTTTCTGCCTTCAGAGCTGTTGAATGGAGTGCCACTAATGTTTCCTTCCTTGTGGCATTCTCAGCGATGCAGGTCAGTTTTGTATAGTAATGTCGGGGGGGGGGGAACAGACAGGTTCAGCTTAAGAGCACAGTCCCAGTCGCACAGTCCCAGTCGCACCGGTGGCAGTGCTTGCTACAGGTCACGGGAATCTAGGGAGCCATACGGCGACCCTGTCCTCCAGCTGATTGGAGAGCAGTCGCCTTTAACTGTCAGCCGTGGCTGATGGCTCGGAAATAACCTTGTTGCCGCCAACCTGACCAGGGGTTTAGAGCTCGGCTATATTGGGAAGGAGTCAGGTGCCTGGAACAGGCTGTAGAGCAGGGGGGCTTTGTAGTCTCACCCGCACATACCATTAATCTGAAATATATTTGAAGTTCTAAAAACTGTACAGCAGCAGGCGGCATGGGTCTGTGTGGACCCCAGGGTACAGCTGCATTGCAGGCAGCTTGAAGGAAGGCTGGGTCCACGGTGGGCCGTCCTGTGTGGCAGCCAATCAGAGGGCTGCCGCTGGGTGCTGTTATCTTGGTATGACAGCCGTAGTCACCACTCCAGCGATGGTCATTGTGCTGTTCAAACATTTCTGCATTTCCCAGCAGCACCACTGATTTTAACCATTCACCCATCTTCCTTCCCCCTTTGGCTCCCCTTTACTCATTACTGGATGCTCTTGTCGTTAAAGACACGCATTTCTTTGCATTAACATATGTTGCAACTTAGCTTATGTTTGTCTGTCTGATGTAGCCTCCATGTTTTCAGTGATGCATCCGACCTGACCAGGAATGAGGCTGCCGGCCTGTCTCACCACTTCAAAAAGCATTTGGTCTGAGAGAATTATTAGAAATGTTTAATACAGACTGATATTAAACCCCCACTTATCTGTATCAGCGCGCCAGTCAGCCGTAACTGCAGCGAACAAAAGCCATTCATTCGCTGATAAATCTGTCAAAACATTCGCATTCCTTTGCACGTTGCTTAACATCAATTGCTAAGTGCCGGGAACAAATTCCGTTTTATCGTTCTTGAGAGAAAAATGTCAGATTAACAGTTTTGCGTGCAAGCTTCCGACAGACGTTTGTATACAAAAAGATTTCTTTTGGGGGCAAAGTCAAGAGTCATGCCCGCTTGCAAAGATGAATTGTTCCTGAACTGAAGTGGAAGAGGGTAGCCATTTTGACAGTATGTGTTGTAACAACCATATACATACTAGTAGGTGCATAGACCTCTCAGGGAACGTCCGCAAACCTTTATGCTCTATCTGGTGCAAGCACAATAGATTAACTTTGGCTGGGCGAGATTTGCTCATTCATTTTTACCCAGAAGTTTGTTTAAAAAAAATCTATTTTGAAATGTAATTTTCTGGACACATACATACAAATGTTCTACGGATTCATTCAGACTAAACAGAAACCGCATCTTAAAAAAATCTGTCCTGCGTTGACAGGTTCACAAAGCGCTGTAAATCCGAGTTATTAGCCACTGACCGATTTTATAGCTGCCGTATCTGGCATATTTTTCATAGGCAAACTGGGGAGCCGACGTACCAGCCCAACCGGTGTGGTACGGTAATCGATTCCGACATTTTTAGCCATATTCATACCTGGATCTTCTTGTATATACACCAAGTAAAGTCTTAGACATGATCCCTCCCCAGAAGTAACGAATGTACGGAAAGGAGTTACGATTTGACGGTGCACCAATTTACACGTGGGCTCATAACCCTTTCGTAAGAATGTATGCTATATGTGTGGGTGAGAAAATGTTAAGGCAAAAAATGACGAGTCATGACTTTGTATTTAACGAAGCGTAATATGTATTTACTCGATGACTGACAGGTTACTTCCGGAAACAAGCTATTAACTGGAGTTTATATCATTAAAATGAAATCCCGTTTATAATTCAGAATTGCGTTTTTATTTGCAGGGGGAAATGGAGCACAAATCGGCGGGTGGATGAAATTTGTGTGCTCCAGCCTCCCCTAATAATGTGTGAAGGCTCTGTAAATGTCATAATTTCAAGATTATTTCCAGATTTGAGATTTCTTACACTTCAAAGATGTTTATTAGCTATTGAAATAAAAAATGTGTTGTACCCCATTTTATTTGTATTTTTTCCATGAATGATTAATACATTATCTACTAGCCATACCAACTCGTAGCTTCTTTATTATTAAGTCTTTGCGACTTAAAGATCTTATGCTCAACGCTGGATATGACATATTGTTTGCTTTTACACAGTCAGACCATAAGGTGGCACTAGAATTCAATTCGAGAGCAGTGTAACAAACGTAATAAAGGACAAGATGGACCACAGTTTACACCCAGAGGCATAATGCTGACGGAAAGAAACTTTCACTGGAATTAACTGACAAGCAAGTTGCACGATCAAAGCAGAATAATCGACATCGGCAGTGTCTGTATCCATGACAAAGAGGAAATATCAAATAAACGGTTATTTAAAAGCGATGTGTAGGACAACGGTTAGAAGAGCAGAGTTTAAACTGCAACTCTGGGGGGCTCGATGAGCGTATTGACTTTTAACCTCATTAGTGTAGCAGTTGTGATTAATGATGGATTATCTTTCAACACGTTGGGACTGTTTTGTTACTCGGGATTTGCTTCTATCAGAAGGCTGTCCGCCACGTCTGGGTGGCTGAAGCTGACTGGATGCCATAAACGAGCCAGAGCAACGTCGGCCCAGAACAAGCGGTTCGGATTACTCAATCGCCGAGTGCCACATTTTCATTTTCTTCGTCTTAACAGACACGTACGTGTCCAGAGTACTAGCTGAAGACAGGAGAAACACAGCTGCGCACGTTAGCCGCCACGCCAAATTAATCAATTTTCAGACTGCTTCTTGTGACCTTTTAAAAATAATGTCGGTTGTAAATTAATGTATTTGTCCTAATACCCAATGATGCCTTAAAATTCTTATAGATTTTTTTCAAACAAAACATCTATATTTATGCCAAGAATTTATTAATTTTTAGATTAAAGATTATAGAAAAACACTTTATTTCCTCTCTGTGTGTGTGTGTGTGTGTGTGTATATATATGTGTATATATATATATATGTGTATATATATATATATATATATATATATAAAATAAACTGTCTATATATGTCTATATTTTAACCCTTCATATATTTTATAGAATATATTTCTGTTTCCCTGTTAAATGTGATTAATGGAGTAATGACGAAGTAATTCTAGTGGTAGCGCCTTTTCTGCTCGAGAAAGGAAAAAGGAAAACAAAACTCTTGTTACAGCGTGATGTAGTAACTGGGGAAGAGGTGAATGTGGACGTGTGCTTTAAGAAATTTCAGTTTCTTGCTTTGCCAGTGATTTCTTTGCATCTCTTGTTTCTATCCTGTTAATGTGTAGTCGGGTGATACGCATTACTAGAAGCGCAATTAATAAAATTACTTTACTTCTGAAACAATGTTCGTCAGCATAACATTCATTGCTGGCATTTGTGGTGAGCTGTGTATTCATATTTTCTATGTTCTTTACCTTCAGGTGTTTTTTATTTCATTTATTTTGTTATCTGTCGCTTTGCTTGCTTACGTTGAAATCTTTCATGAGTGTCTATGATTTGCACGATTTAACATTTATCGGTGTGGTGTTTTTCAGACAATTCTTATGCTTTTGGGAGATGTGCTTTCCTTGTCTTAAGTATAAATTCCGGTCCTTTCTCTAAAACCAAAGACAAAATTCCTAAACGTTTTGACTAGTTGTTATGTTGTATATTTGATTACCGTTTACCGATTGTTGTGAAAAACATTGGTCCGTAATATTCCAAGATAACGCTTAAGGAAACAAAGTAACCATTAAAAACCTATCATTAAAAATCAACTTGTGTAAAAAGGCAGTAATACTTTAGTCAACGAATTAACTGAAAACTTTCGACAACTCAAGAATATTAGCCTGACTGAAAACGCAGAACAGTAACAACGGCGAATACATTTAGGCTACAACAGTTAATTTATTCTGAGATTTGTTTGCAATCTTCGCGTTCACAAATTACTCATTGCAATTAATGTAATTTGTATAAATAAAGCATGATGTTTATACATCGATATATAATGGGGTCGGTGTATTTGGCATTTACGATATTCCAATTATGTTGATAAAAAAATCATTTTTCATTCATAAAATTTTATTTTGAAGTAACCAGACTTGTATCAGATTTTGAGAAATACAGCTAGGCTATATGGAGCTGAGAGTTAACTAATGCTTCTTTAATGAGAAGGAACTGCATGGTATTTTGTCACGTATTAAATTACGTACGTATTACGTGTTTTTGGCAAGACTATTTCACCAGAGTGTTTAGCACAACGACTGGGAGGCGGCAGTAGGATAGGGTTGCTTCCCAACCGCGCAATTACAAAAACACAGGCTGCATTAAACAGCTCTCTATAAAAAAAAAAAGTTTATCACATGACGTTTGACATGCGGCATATTGTTTTATACACTTCACTGTGGCAATATGGTTGATAATAGTTTAGTCGAGAGTTTTCATCACCTCACATCGTCGAAATTCCAGTTTAAGAATACGTTTAGGCTCCTATAAGACAGCTAAAACAATGACATACCAAAATATTTACTCATGTGCAGCACAACCCAAGAATGGTATTGTACGAAACTGTTTAGTCATCAGTAAGTTAACATTACAGAATATTCCGCAAATATTGTAGAACATATTATTTCATGATTCCAACTTGTCTACACGCGTTAATTGTAAATTTGTTGTAAGCAGTGCCAATGCACACTATCCGACAGCCGCCGTACCCTCCCTAAACCCTCCGTAAAGGCAATAATTACACTTTTTTGCTATCTTTGGTTCGGATCCGCCTTCTTTCTAAACTCATATGCCAATGAAAGTGCGGGTCTTCGGCGTCGTCTTGACAACTCGGGTGACGTGAATGATAACTCCGCCCACAGGCGGTGCAAAATTCTTAGCTGTCCAGCCATCAGCCATTACATCTCTGTGTATTCAAACGTAGTCGGCGGAGTGTCGTATTCCTAGGTTGGAAAGGGAGACCGTGTGCGGAAGGTTGGAAGCAGCCTTAAAATATAGAATATTCTTTCTCATACTTGTCGTATATTTCTGATTGGAGAAAAGTGTTGTTAGTATAACGGCTAGGGACATTTTTCTTACCAAAATTTTTGAAGCATCAGTTTGTTTTTCTTTTCCCTCCTGGCGATTATTTCCCAAACTAACGATACCTAGCTAGCTAGGATTACGTAGTGCATCGGCGATCCAGACGCCTGAGAGGAAAATCTTTTTTTTTTTTTTTTTTTTGCCTGAAGAATTTTTATTTTTCTTAAGAATCCCGTTTCTATTTAGATGGCAAGCTTCCCAGAGTTTGTAAATGAAAACGAAATAGGTAAGTTAAAACGTCAAACATTCTGATAATGTTTAATTTGACTGACAGTGCTCGGAAAAGGCTTATCCATTTTTTAGCATGCGCTGTATGACTGACAATGATGTGGAAGCTGCACGTACAACCCTGTAAAACTGTATCCAAAGATTTAATTAAAACCGAAGTAGTATTATATTCCCGTTTGTGTGCGCGAGTTTTTTTTCCTACTTGAGTGTGTTTTCGCGCACAGTCGCGACGAGCATTTTCTCATGCATGCATAGACCACGTCCCATTCCCCTCCCCCATCCTCTCGCTGCTCATCGCCGCAGCCTCCGCGATAGCTTTGCTGCAGCGTGACTCACATGCGCGGCTTGAGCAAACGTAGGGAAGAACGAAGCTCGCGACTTTCGATCGACTGAAGATGGGGACGTGACTTAGCGCGAGACGACGGCACGTTTTATTCCAACTGGGCTGGCGCGTGCGGGGTCCTCGAGGGAGCGAAGTGTAAGCGCGAGTCGCCGCTTTGAATTTTATTACCTACTAGTCAGTGCTGTGTAGTATTGTAGCTCCATTTATACTTTTCTGTCACAGAGGCGATGCGTATAAAACCAAGGTGATTTATATAGGAATCGTCACGTGCTGTGTGCTGACGCCTCATGACTGTTATTGAAATGAATCAGTTTATCGGAGTGTTGCATCAGAATCTTTATTGCTGCACGACCAATGCCGATTGGAATTTTTGTTGGCAAAGTCTGCCATTCTTAGAGACGACAATTAAAAACTAACAATTAAGGCATAAAAAGAGAAATAGATACAAGGCACAAATGTCCTGTACAGTAATAAAGTTTTATTATGGGTGTATATTGAAGAGGGTGTGACTTTATGGTTTGTTTCTGAATGTAGTATGAAAACAACATGTTTATTTATGGGGGAGGACTTGTGTTGGGGTGACAGTGTGACAATGTGCATAACGGCTTGTATCTGTCCTCAGGGAAGGCTAAGCTCATCGGGGAACTCCTAGTGTCCGCGGCTCCTTTCGACCAGAAGTCTGGAAGGGAGACGTGGGCTGTAGCCTTTGCTCCCGATGGCTCCTACTTGGCTTGGTCCCAGGGGCACCGTATCGTGAGGCTCCTACCCTGGTCGAAATGCCTGAACGACTTGTGAGTATGTCGCACGGCCCCGGAGGCACACGTATTTAACGATGGAATGGGAAGCGAAGCCACCACCCCAGAACACTCAGCCAGTCACAGTTTATTTAATGTGTGTGTTTATTTTCTTTCTCTCTCTATGAGGGTTTGGTCATTTTAGCAGGTTTTCCTTAGTGCAGTTCGTAATGTGCAATTCTGATCTGTAAATATTTTTCTGTAATACTACAAGATTCAGTTTTCAGGACATTCTATTAGCCACACTTGTTTGTCTGCACTATGTTTGTCTTTGCACTTCGTCTATTTTACCCCATATACAAGTTTATCTGTGCACTATATTCTAGCTGTTATATGCACCAGATTTTCCTAATGGGATCGATTGAAATCCTAATCTTGATCTTAATGGTTGCATTTAACCGGATGAAAGTAGAGAATAAGTAATAGTTTTGGCTCAGATGTCAGTGAGGTGGCAGGAATGTCACTGCTGGCATGGCTTACAGTCGCGGTATGTGCCGCCAAGTTGACTGGGAGCCCCTGGCTACTCTCTTGTTGCCCGTGCTGTTTTCCAGCAGGTTTTCGGTCCCCTCCTGGCAATGCGCTGTTGCGTCTCCCACGGTTGCAGGGCTGCATTCACTTTGGGAAGCCAGGTCATGCTCCCAAACAGTCTTGCACACTGGGATTGGGTACCACTTTTCAGTGGTTGATCAGCCTTGTCTGAGAATCAGGTTTTGTCCATCAGAGGTCACTTGATTTTTTGTACTGTTGCAGCCATCCATTGTGTCTCGGAGCTGTTTGCTCAAGAACGTTAACCCAGATAGAGACGGATTATAGTGCACGATGTTCAGAATGTGCCGTATGCTTAGTATGTTGTATCAAGGGCTGGTTTGGCCACTTTGTGTTCTAGTGTGTCTCTGTAAGTAGTTATTTGCTTTAAGTGTCCGGGATTTGTCCATTTAGATATCTGTTAAGAAGCACACCCTGTTGAGTTGTGTAATGGGATTTTTTTTTGTAGACCCCTAGCAGAATCTAGAGAATGTAAAGTAGCATTCTGTCCGAAGAGAATGCACCCTTCATCTTCAGATCCCTGCGGTCTGTTTGCCAGATTTGTATGTTTTTGTTTGGTATGATGCTTTGGCTGTAGTTTGACTGTAGTCTAAAAGATTGATCTGGTTGTGCAAACCAAAAAATAATCTGTGTTGTGTGGTTTTTTTCTTTGCCACTTGCTTTCTCCACATTGCAATACAGGTCGGACAGCGCATGAGAGTTAGTTACAGGTTTTTCTGGCTTATCTTGAAAGGATTTGTAAAAAGGTATTGTTAAAAAAAAAAAAAATGTGCATTTGGAAATGCTGCCATTGCATGACATGCAGTCAGAAAGACGCACGTTTTCAATTGGTGTTATGACTCAGCTTGACAGTTAAACAAGAAAGCGAGTGTCTGTACTACAGCTGTGTCATGGGCTGAGGTTTAAACTAGTTTCACATGTAAAATAGCAGGATAGCATTTCCCAATTCCCTCCTCGGGTTAATGATTACAAGTCACGCCGCTTCTGGGGGGCTTTTCCCCGCCCCTTCGACTGTGCCTTTCAGTTATGGCTGATGTAACTCTGACATTTCTGTGTTACTGCTCCCAAGTTGTTTACTGCCAGTCTAGCTTTTTTTTTTTGTTCCTCCTGGAGAACATGGAACCATAAAGAAGCTGCTGTGCTGTGGGGAGGCTGCCAGGGCCACGTGGTCAGTATTATCTGCTAGTCTGCGGGCCACGGCTGAGCCCATCCACAGTTAGCTCTTCCTGGCCCTTGGTGTTGAGCCCCCAGGAGGGGGAACAAGTGCCCCTTGTGAGACTGCAGACTTGAGTTGGGGAGTGGTTTTAGTTTTGGTTGGGTGCTGAGGGGCACCACAAGTTCTGTCCAGGGAAGGGGGCATCCCATAGAAACTGGACCGTCACCTAGCCACCGCAGATGCTCCCCGCGCCTTCTGGCACTGAGCACCTCCTTCATTTGTAGGTCTTTAGGATCTCGATGTCTAACGGCCTCAGTTCCTGTGCAGGAAGTTAGGAATGTTCCCCAGCGACCTCCTGGCATTTTTCTGTGGGTGTTGAAGGTCGCCATGGACTGTTTCTGGCGGAGACCGTCTGTTTCACGCTTTTTATTGGGTGGCAGCTCTGTACCCTGCATTTTTACAGGTATTAACCACCTGCCTGATGAATTGTGGGTAATCAGCACGGTGGGGAACCTGGCATTTGGATGGATTGATTTTCAGTATATGGCATTAGCTTTGGAGGAAGAGAGAGGCTTGCTGTGCAGTGCCAAAAGTTTTCATATTAAAGACAGTAAGAAATTCAAAATAAAAAAAAACTGCAGAAGTAACGGGAAGCATTACGCCCCCCCCCCCCCCCCCCCCCCCGACTGTCTCCACAGCACCGTCGGCAGTGCAGACCTGTCCAAGGTGGTCGCGGGGCCCCAGCGCCTGTCGCGGCAGCACAGCGACGGGCAGCTGGGTCGCAGCATGCCCTGCGAGCAGACCATCGACTGCGGCGACATCGTCTGGGGCCTGGCCTTCGGATCCTCCGTGCCCGAGAAGCAGAGCCGCTGCGTCAACATCGAGTGGCACCGCTTCAAGTTCGGCCAGGACCAACTGCTGCTCGCTACGGGCCTCAACAACGGGCGCATCAAGATCTGGGACGTCTACACTGGTGAGCCTCGTGCCCTTCCGCAGACGAGCCGTGGGGCTTTAGGTCCAAAAGCCGACCAACCCCCCGTTCGTGGCCAGTGCTGTACACTATGGGTTGTTTGCAGCACTAGTCACAATGAGGAATGGATTCCCCCGGTTAATTGGCCTCGGATGTGGCTGGGTTCCTTGCAAAAGAGAGGAAACGAACGTTCTTTCCAAACTGAAGACTCCTTCGGGCGGGAGCTTGGATTGACACGGCTTCTTGACACCTCTCTCCTGGCCCGTATCCCGTCTCCCCTGGGTGTAGGGTGCAGTGCCACGTGACTCCCTTGGTCACCATCCAACGGGTGTATAGACGGAGACCACAGGCGCTTCCAATTATGATCCCTCGCTGTAGCTCCGAACCAGAAACCCATGTCCCGCCCACACTCTCCTGTTTGGTGCCGTTTTATACCCCCTCCGGGTAAATTCCAATCTGAGGATTGGTTATTTTTCAACTTGTGCCGTCATTTTCAAGGCGAACAGAACAGCCCTAGTTTTGTGCAAGTGGGCCGGCACTGGAATCCATCTCTGATTGGTCAGAGGCCTAGGTATTATTTGCCCTGAGTTCTCCCTTAAGGGGCAGGTCCTTGCACAGCTGTCCTATTGGCTGTTGAGACTCCAGCAAGTGGGTTGCAGTTGTCACGCGATCTCTGCCAACATGTTTCAAGTCTGGCGCTTATCACCTCTATCTGGCATCCAGATCACGGTCTGTGCTGTGATCCTTAGCTCTGGAAATTCCCCGTAAGGCCTTGTAACCGATTCAGATATTTTTATTGTTTTTTTGCATGCATAGGCGTCATCACATTAATCACGGCAGTGTGTTTCATTCCCTGTGTGTGGTTTGTTGTTTGGAAAGTCGGCTTGATCCTCAGTTCCTTTGAGATTTCAGGGTGGCATTGGTGGCAACATCGCCAAGCTGCTTCTCCTGATGAAAACTGAGTAGATATAATCTTGCTGCAATTGGCACAGCGGTAAAAAAAAAAAGAGGATTATCGGGGATTAGCCTGACAAATTGCTGTTGTCGTGTTCCTGCATCTCCCTAGGTCAGGTACATTTTTACGTGCAGCCAGAGACCGTGTTGGTGTGGGAGGGGCCCACTGTGCCTCACCATAACCCCAGGGTCATTGTTCTGGAAGTTCAGCTGTATTTTCTGTAATAATTGCCCCCCCCCCCCACTTTTATTTTTTCCTGGGCAGGCAAACTGCTGCTGAACTTGATGGATCACACTGACATTGTACGAGACCTGACCTTCGCTCCCGACGGCAGCCTGATGCTGGTGTCTGCCTCCAGGGACAAAACACTCCGCGTCTGGGACCTGAAAGACGACGGTAGGGGCCGTCGGAGCTGGGCCACCTGCACTGGAATATCGCAGATGCTGAGCAGCTTACGCTGCATCTCAGGGAGAAACCGGTGAAGTGTCACAGCATAGGACCCCTCCCCCAGTTTGCAGTGTAGTATTATGGAAAATGCTACATCCCAGGCAGTCCTGCACTTAATTCAGTGACTGGATGTTGCAGTGGGGGTACAGTGTACAGTGTTGGGGAAGTTACTCACAAAAGTAATCCATTACCGACAGAGGTGGAAAGTTCAGGTCCAGAAAGTACAAATCCAGACCAAGATTTTGTTTCAACCAACCAGTTGAGTATAAATAGTCACAAAACGCAAGCCTTGCATAGAAAAGCCTTAATTCCATAAAGGTGGCTGCAGGGAGAATTTTTCTTTGTTCTCAGTATTTGAATCGCCTGCAGTTTTTATTATTTAAAAGTTTTAATAAGCCAGGTCTTGTCTTTCAGGGAATATGGTGAAAGTACTGAGAGGCCACCAGAGTTGGGTGTATTGCAGTGCCTTCTCCCCCGATTCCGCTGTGCTGTGCTCAGTGGGGGCCAGTAAATCGGTACGTACCACGGTTCCTCTTCTCTTCCTCCTCTGTCTGCTCCCCCCCCCCCCCCCCCCCCCAAAGTAACGTTGTGCACGGTGTCATGAATTGCGCAATTTTGCCTTGCTTGAAGTTTTGCTTTTTTAAGATTAAAAAAAAAAAAAGAGTTAATTTTTTGCTTTTCGAGAAGCTGTTTAATCACACTGGCATGTAGCCCAGAGACTCTGCCGCACGTGTTTCCAAGGCCAATGATGTGTCTTACTCCTTTATTCATGTAATCATTCCTAGAGATAAACGGCAATAAATAATCCAGAACCATGTTTGACCAAAAAAAAAAAAACGAAAAAATCCACTAAAACTGAAAAGTGAGCAAGTATTTTTTTGACAAAATCCTTCCATTTAGGATTTATTACACCTTAAGTGTAAAAATGCTCGAACGATTTGGGGTGGGCTGCTAATGTAGTCATGTGAACCTTTTATGGTTCCTGGGAGCTCAGCAAAACATCTCTGTAAGCTTTGCCCCCCCCCCATCATGAGGTGGGCTCCATGGGCACCCCCATGTACTGGCAGAGCGCACTCTGTTAGGCTGTGTGTGTCTATAAGTGTCTTGCTCTCCCTGTCCCAGGTGGTGGCAGCACTGTGTGTGGTTGGTAGCGAGGCGAGCGCCGCGCTGGCTTAGCGCAGCCGGTGCGGACCGTGCCAGGGGACGCGCACTGCCCGCTCCCCAGGGGGCAGCCTTGCACCCACCGCAAGGCCTCCCGTACGTAGGTGCTGCTCCATGTCTGTCTACCAAATGCTCTCAGTTGCTTCCTCTGCAGGCTAGAACAGGAATCCAGTTGATAGTACCTCCTCCCTGAAACCCACACCCCTAACCCCCCCCCC